AAGATCGTCCATTACTTTTATCGATTTTATCGATTTTTTGAAAATTCGAGCTAGGGGGCTGGAATTTGGCACAGGGGTGTAATCGAGCATGCTGATCACCTCCCCTTGGGGGTGATCAGCATGCTCGATTACCCCCCTGTGCCAAATTGCCAAGATCGTCCATTACTTTTATCGATTTTATCGATTTTTTGAAAATTCGAGCTAGGGGGCTGGAATTTGGCATAGGGGTGTAATCGAGCATGCTGATCACCCCCCCCCCCCCTTGGGGGTGATCAGCATGCTCGATTACCCCCCTGTGCCAACTCCCAGCCCCCTAGCTCAAACTTTGCAAAAAATCGATAAAATCGATAAAAGTAATCGATAATCCTGAAAACCAATATTGTATTCGGAATCCCCATGCTCGATTACCCCCCTATGCGAACTCCCAGCCCCGTAGCTCAAACTTTGCAAAAAATCGATAAAATCGATAAAAGTAATCGATAATCCTGAAAACCAATATTGTATTCGGAATCCCCATGCTCGATTACCCCCCTATGCGAACTCCCAGCCCCGTAGCTCAAACTTTGCAAAAAATCGATAAAATCGATAAAAGTAATCGATAATCCTGAAAACCAATCTTGTATTCGGAATCCCCATGCTCGATTACCCCCCCCCTATGCGAACTCCCAGCCCCGTAGCTCAAACTTTGCAAAAAATCGATAAAATCGATAAAAGTAATCGATAATCCTGAAAACCAATCTTGTATTCGGAATCCCCATGCTCGATTACCCCCCCCCCCCCCTATGCGAACTCCCAGCCCCGTAGGTGAATTCAGCAAAAAAATCGATAAAAATCGATAAAATCGATATCGATCGATGACGAAAAGTAGCCTATGACACCCGCCGGGGCCCGTAGTGTATGTGTGCCAAGTTTGGTCCGGATCGGTTCAGAAATGGAATTTTCTATTCGGAACATACGTACATACATACATACAGACAGACATACAAACAGACATTCAGCTTTATATTAGGTTGTCCCGAAAGTTTTGTCGGTTTTTTCAAGCGACTATAAAACCACACACAATAAACACCTGAATGAGTTTCAACATGCATTCGATGCACCTTTTTCTTCTCTTTCTTAAGGATTCATTCCCGATCCACAATCTTGTATGCTTTTCCCGATATTTGTAAAAATTCTCCTTCCGCCAATTTTATCTGCTCAAAGTTCGGCTAATTTTTAGAAATTTCGTTCTGAAGTTTCTAAATTGGTTAGGTATGATTCTAATAGAGCAACTCTCGGACTACAAGATGGTACTTTTAGGTTCCCCCAATCTGCTGTTTTTAGCTTGAAAAAAATTATTCTTAAGAGGTCTCGATTTTTGGCAAAGTCATGAAATACGCAACTGCAGCAAATACACGGAAGTTTTCAAAGTTTCCGCGAATTGAAAAATGATTCTTATTAAACATTATTTATGCAACATGACCAAGTTTGATTTGTTTTGAAAAAGGAGCTTTTTGGAATTTTCGGTACTTTTACGTGGTAAACGTAATCAAAAAGTTGCGGTTTTTATTAAATAATTAATTATAACGAACTTGGTAAACGTGGTCCATGACGTCTTAAATGAGTATAATGTAGCCAAAGATTTGCTCTACATAATAGTTACCAGCGCTCTTTGAAAACGTCAGAATAAAAAATTTGAAAATTCAGGAAAAATTTGGCGTCACTGCTGAGCTGCTCAAAAACCATGGCGATAACATTGCAAAGACAGGGTAGATCAGAGAGAAAATAGAGCTCTATGAAAGAGGATAAAAATCTGAATCAAACAGTGCTCAGCTTGCCCATGGATTGGTGTTCTGTGAGTTTCGGTGATCGATGAAAGAAACCGACAAAACTTTCGGGACAACCTAATATATAAGATAATGTTTTTGATGATAAGAATGTTCAGCGTAGGTAATGCTGCACTTCAAAAGACAAACAGCCCACCAATCATTTTGCAAACGCGGTGGTTGGCTCCCTAGCCAGATAAGGATATTTTAAGATCATGCAACATGCCTTCTTGATTCTTGCATCATTAGAGTAAATGGTTCTATTTATCTCAAGCAGTTTCCACTATGGCTTCAATAGAGATGATTCTATATTCTTTATTCAAACAAAGCAAACTTTTTCCTCGCCGGTCGCATGTTTGAAAACTGTTGTCGAGACGCAGATGATTAGATGGTCCGACAGTCTCCACGGCAACTGGGCGGTGCCCGGAATCTCCAGATGAGCTGGCACCCCCCGGGTGCTCGGTGGTCCCCTCCCCATTAATGTCCCCCAATTTTACATATATGCTATAATGATAAAATCATCTAGTTGTTAAGATGCAATACAACAGGGTAGAGGGATCAAGTCCCGAGAGTAATTAACTCGTTAGACTTGACACTGTCAAAGGGTCCAAATCGATCTTGGCGAAGACGCTTCAAGTGCTGTGCTCTTCCTGCCCAGAGTTTGCCCTTTCTGACCTGCAAATAAAATAAAAAAAGAGGAGATTTCAATTTACGGTAGATATTAGAGATAGTACAATCAGGTACTTCATGATTTTTAGCACTCATTGGGGTCACTGATTGAGCTTTATTCAACTGCTTACAGATTTTCTCTGCTGTGACCGTTGCTGAAGGGAGGACTTAAAAATAAACTCAAGCAGATAACAGGTAAAGTTAACGACTATATGCCTATATGGAGGGCTTATAGGCATAAGCCAGTGGCGTACCCAGGATTTCGGCTCGGGGGGGGGGGGGCGACAAAAACTTTTTTTAGTGAAGGTGCGTGGCGTTGCCACGCGCCCACAAAAGATTTTTGGTACAATTCTCAAAATTTTCGCGGGCCCACAACCCCAAAATCTTAGAAAAAGGGGCGTGCCACGCCCCCGAAAAAATTTTTTTCAAGGCTAAAATGAAGTTTTAGAAATTTTTTGAAAATTATTTCAATTATTTACAAGTATAAACAAGTCATTTGCACATTTTTATAACCTATATAAGTGACTTTCAAGAATTTCGCGACCCATTCTCGGGGGGGGGGGGAGATACTATCAACCTCGTCTTTGGACAGCTTTAACTTCCAAAAAACAACTTTTGAATAGTAAACAGTGATCTCAATCTCACTTTCGGAAAACTGGTGAAAATCTTACGGTTTCAAAGCAAAAATGCCGTGCACAAAATCAATAAAATAGAGCTGATGTAACCAAAAACATATTGATCAATACCTTTAAAAAAGAAATGGAAATTTGATACAGATCAAAATCCGACGCCTTCAAAAATTAGAGCCAAATGCTTCAGTGCTGCCTCGGAAAACCGTGTGAAATTCTTCCATCATTTTGCCAACATGACGTTGTAAAAATCCGTCTATCAAGAGCATTGGTGGCTGCTCTGCCTCGGAATGTATACATCGTGAGTTTTTTGCTCATATTCTTCTAGGACCTTCTGGAACTCTTAACCCTTAGCCTCTTTAGTCCTTACTAGAGGAAATAGCAATGGGACGGTTAGATAGGAAGAGCGCCACATTAGTAGTTTATTGACGCTCACGCCATGCCATGCCAGCGGGAAGATTTTGTAAATTCTATTTATTCTAATGATTCATTCTGTTTTTAGTCATCATATGTAGACCTTCTGATGAGTAATCACAAAAGCGCTCCTCTTTGTTATGATCAAATGGAAAATAGTGAAGCGCAGTCGGCAAGTCTCTTAGCCTTTATCAAGTCTCAATAAGGTTGAGAAGGTTATCATGACTACACCAACTCCTTGCTTGAGTTTTCACTTTCCGCGACCAAAAAATTGGTTCGAGAAATTGACATGGTGTCACATTATGGCATCCTAGTTTCCTTTATCGGCGAGGTGAGCGACAGACATTACGGAGCTTAGTGTACCCCGCCAAAGGCACATTCATTCTAAATCATGGCGATACGCAAAGACTGGTCACAGAGAGCATGTTACCATAAGAAAGACGATGCATTCAGGTTCTCTGAAAACAGTGTCTGTTTTTGATGTAAGAAAAACATCTGAGACAACTTATCAAATATAGATTGGTATACAATGTAATTCTGTAATCCTTCTTTTTGCTATGTGAGAAGTTCTTCTATGTTACATGTCGTTGATTTTGAATGATGGTTAACGCTTCAGATCTGTTTTCATGAATTCTGTAGACGCAAATGGAAGAGTCGCAAAAAGCGCTAAAGATTGGAGTTGAGCAGATTGCATCAAATCGCCAATATTAAAGGAGAAAGAATGATCAATGAGCTTGCAGTTGGCTGTTATGATGTCGATTTTGTCAAAGCAACATCAATTCTGCATAAAGCAAATTTTTCGAAAATGGTGAAAAAAGTGTCATTTAGTTGGTGTTTCAATCTCAACGATACGTATGCACAGCAACTTGTTTCGCAATTGTTAACAGCTCCGACATTGTTGAGTAACATCTTTATGTATTCTTATCAACTATAGTCTAACAAATGAATAACAAGAGAGCGAAAGCATGATGAAACACAGTAAAATATTAATTCAGTCTATGTCTTACTTGTACCGTAATTGATTCCATGGATATGTGAACAATATATTAGCAGGTTGGATAAATAGAAACCGGTTGGCGAAAGCGTTCGAAATCAACCGATGCCTGGTTCACAAAGCGACACTTCATGGTTTCAAACAAATGCTTTGTACAAGAGCATAGAAAAAATAATGATGATCATCCCACATTTTCTGGCTGCTAGTTGTCTACGTAGCTTGTCTGGCATAGGGTACCTTGCCCTTGCTGACCCACTCAAATTTAGACTTGCAGAACAAATGCTCACTTATCACTACCAAACACAAAACTGCAAAGCAGATACTCTCTGATGAGGGCAAAAAACCGATGCCTTTCAATGCATGGATAAGATTTATCATATCATGAGTGCTTTTCTATTAGTGTGAACAGCAATTTTTAGACTTTGCTACTTGAGAACGCTATACCACTATTCTGATATTTTTGGATTGTATCTTGTCCATTTCCAAACTGACGATTTCAAGATGAGGTTGTACACAAATGTAAGGTTGTTCTTTAAGGGATGCTTTTAAGACACACATTTTCCTTTCTTTTCCCATTCCATCAGACCTAAACGGCGAGTAGTGGTCTGACGCGTTGTCAGAGTGGTGGGCGCACACTATACAGTATTTTCCCTTCAATTTTTTTCCTTTTCCGCAATACTAGAAGTCGAGAATATACTTTATGCTGAATCCAATTTTTCTTTTCTTCTAGCAATATTTGCTTTGTTTTTGTTACCTCCTCGAAGTCACTTTTACGTTTCTCAAACCTAGTAGATTCTCGCACACCAAATACTCGAGACTTCGATGTGCATGACTATTTGTTATCTGGAAAAATATTAGGTTGTCCCATGAGTTTTTTCATTTTTGAGTTTTCGCTATAACACTTCATATTCTAATTAGACAGTAGCATAACATTCGAAAGAGCAAAGCAAGCTCTATAAGACGGCATTTATGCTTTTGCACAAGCTTTGGTCCATCGCGAGTTTTAAACCATAATCTAAAAAGTTTCGGATGCCCAGAAAACCGAAAAATTTTCATATCTTCATTTGAAAAAATCCTACAAACCTCTGATTCGCTCACGCATATACATTCCATATCAGGCATTCATATGTGTTGTTGCCGTATTTTTTATCGGCTAGAAATCAAGAAACTGAAAATTTCCATGTTTTTATCGAAGTGATGCTGTGCAGTTCTTACTTTAACAGTTGTATACTAGAAGCCCTTAAAAGTACTATTGTAGATGTTTGGCTCTCTATATGCTCTGGTTCACGATTACCTTTATTCACTCGGGCTTTTCACGCTTAAATCAACATATCTCGGAAACCAGAGCATATAGAGAGCCAAACATCTACAGTAGTACTTCTAAGGGCTTCTAGTATACAACTGTTAGTGTAAGAACAGCACAGCATCACTTCGATAAAAACATGGAAATTCTCGGTTTCTTGATTTCTAGCTGATAAAAAATACGGCAACAACACATATGAATGTCTGATATGGAATGTATATGCGTGAGCGAGTTAGAGATCTGTCGGATTTTTTTCAAACGAAGATATGAAAATTTTTCGGTTTTCTGGGCATCCGGAACTTTTTAGATTTTGGTTTAAAACTCGCGATGGACCAAAGCTTGTGCAAAAGCATAAACGCCCTCTTATAGAGGTTGCTTTGCTCTTTCGAATGATATCCTGATATCTTATTAGAATAAGAAGTGTGTGACTTATTACAACGAAAACTCAGAAATGAAAAGACTTATGGGATAACCCAGTATATCCTATAAAAATATGAAAACGTACGATGTTTACGTAACTACTTATGTGTCAGGAAATTTGCAAGAGCTAGAAATGTTTGCTGTTCTATTTGGAAGTGATAACCAAAATAGTTGGCAAGAATATTCTAAAAAGTCCTTCTCTGGCATTTACTATCTTAAATACACGAACAGTAACGATATGATCATCTGTAAGTGTTGAAATAATCCACATTAACAGTTACGAATATTATTAGGATTTGTTAAGACCTCATCATTTCTGGTTACGATTTTTGAGAGGAATATAAATGTACTTAAGCAAAGACTTTTTGTGTGATCCATTGCATAAATTAGAAGCAGAGAATTATATGCAGCATCCAAGATATGAATCACTCACTTACTTGCCTGACTAGATCAGCTGGCGCGTAGGAATATAAAAGCACTTCTGGTAATTTCAGGCTCATAAGTGTGCATAATGGACAACGCAAATGTAGCTTGAAAATCAGTTTCTTACATTCAATGATTGTGTGTCCCACTCATCCATGAGTCTCATCCATATCCATCCATATCCATATAACTGGTATACGCAGACTCAATAGAAGTAATTCCAGCAATTTTCCGTTAACGGCTCAATTTGGAGATTGCGTGATTTCTGTTCCGCTCGTCGTAATGAGACCTACCAATATGTATGCGTTTTTTACAGTACTAGTGACGGTAGGTTCAACAATAGTTTCGGATGGGGTATTTCGCTATGTGCTTCCAGCTGTTCTCCACAGTGGTTCACATCGATGCTTGTTTCCTTGGACTTTTCAGAAGATTAACAGCTCGACGCCCAAGAATACTTAGACTAGCTCCTCGCAGGGCTCTGTTTCTGAGAAGATTTTGAATCTGGAACTGAAGAGAACAACCTTTGTGTGGCATTGATAATGAATTTTTCGGCAATATGTAGATGTTTATAGATTAAAGGTCAATAAAATGTTGTATTAACGTACTTCACGTTTTACAAAATTAAGGCAAAGATGCTTGAAAGCAGTGTCCTACCAGAATATGGATCCGGTATTTTTGCTAATTATATGCCGTCACGACCTTGTATAAATAACCCTAGGCGGGCTCATGTACACATTGAAAAAAAAAAACAAAAAAACTACAGTTTGAAAGCCTCGTAAAAGAAAGCGGACGAGCTGCTCCATAGCTTAGCTTTCGCCACAGGATGAAACATATCATAAGCGGAAACTTTACATAAAAACACGTATCGAAACGCAACACTGAAACCGACAATTCGGCGCGTCGAATTAGGCTCCGTGCACTTTGAGGGCAATTACTAGACGTAGGAAAAGCCTCATCGAATAAGATTCGGGTGGGTCAATACAAAAATACTCTAATAAAATCTGTAGAAACTAAATATTAGGTAGTTCCGAAAGTAATGTCGCTTTTTTGGAATGAACGCCACTATTCGTGGAATCAACATTTTCAAGAGATCTTATTGTTAGGAGCATTCGATGCAGCATTTCATCCCCTTTCTACCGGTTGTAATTTCATTGCGTAATATTCAATGAGCTCTCAAAAAATTACCAAAATCTGCGACTCATGCTTTTTGCCATGGTCAAGTTCGGCTATTTTTTTAAATTTTTGTACCTAATCTCCGAAAAAGTACAAATGACAAGTAAATAAAGCAAACACTATAGAACATAGTATTTTTTCTTTTCCTTAGCTTGCTTCTCAGAGTTTCTACAATCAATTTCTCAATGCCATCAAATTCCATATTTAGTCATGTCATACCTCAACAACAACCTGCAGGCGACTCGGGTGTCATTCGATGCAGCTTTTTCTCCTCTCCGATTCATCAAGTTTTCCGGGATAAAATCATCATAATTTAACTTTTCCAAGGCGCCCCAAGGTGTACCCGAAATTTTCGAAAGTTGCTAAATCGAAGCGGTAAATCCTCGTTTAGTTTGTAAAACTGTTGCCAAACTATAATCCACCTTTGTAAGTTTCAAAATCCAAAGACTTGTTGGCGTTTGATGCACTTGTGTCTGAGACGAGCCTACTAAAGTTCGGTTGTTCCATCAAAAAATATGTACAAAAATTACGACGAGCTCTGGAAAGTAGAAAAAAGTTGTGCTGTTCTCTGTAGGGTTTGCTCCATCCATCCATTACTTCTGAGGTTTGTTATAAAATTTTAGAAAAATTGTGAAACTTGGCCATCTCAAAAAGCATAGGTCGCAGATTCTGACTCTTTTCTGGAAGCTCATTGACTGTATTGCAACAACTTCATAACCATTAGAAAGAGAATGAAATGCTGCATCAAATGATACCAGAATCTCTTATACATCTTTGTTCCGCGAGATGTGGCATACGTTTGAAAAAAGCGACATCACTTTTGGAACGACCTATATATCCCAGATCTGGTGGGATGCCGAGTATTAAGCCAGAGTCCTCTACATATGACTGGGTTACATCCAATGTTAACCTATTTTACTGGTAAATTCTGTGTAGGCTGGTGTATGACGAAGGCGCAACATCTTTGGGTGCAATCGCGGCTTTACTAGCCGTAGAACGCATGAGGAGCAGCATATATAACCTTGAAGATACGCGCCCGTCGCGTTCGCGCCCGCTTCAAAGGCAGTGGCTCGGCAAATCTCAACCTAGTCAAATTTGCGCTTACCTGGGGTTTTTCAAAACTGATCCCGAAAATCCACTTTTGAAAGCCTGAAAACGACGAAAATAAGTATTTTTTAATGCCCTTCCCTTTGGAATTGGACGAGTGGAGAAAGGCCGATGACGCTAAATTGTTGCAGGACCCAATGATTATAGCGTTGCGGTGGGTAGCCTCCGATGGTGAAAGGGAAATTGCCAACTCGTCCAGATGTGTGTAAGATTGGCCTCCGCGTGTAAGTTTGAAAGCAATTTTCTCGGCAGGGAAAGCATGCTGTGCAACCGGGATTGCACTATTTTTATACTTGAGCCTTAAGGAACTTACCGCGTTGAAATCCTGAGTTGGTGGATTTTGCCGATCCACTGCCTTTAACTGATATTCAACTCTGCGCCTTCGTCATGCAATAATCTTTACATAACATCGTCTCAGTGAAGCGCTGCAACTTATAAGCATGCTGTTCAGCCAGCTTGTCCTTCGATGCCTCTAATAAGAAAACAGTCTGATAGTGATATAGCACTTCATTTCAGCTTTAGGAATATGGACAATGCCGCAGGTTTAATCATGCGAGTGAGATTGTGAAATTGCTTCTCAACTAAGCCTTCGCTACATAGAACCTGATACTTCAATGACCTGGGCAATGAAAGAAAGAAAACCTTTATCTTTGAGAAACAGAAAACATCCGAGATATGACCGGATGCAAAGCTCACTACCCATCGGCATAATCGTGGTTTCAATGAGTAAAAGTGTGGTGAAACATTGAGCAGTACACGCATTTTTACAGCTTTTTCTGTGCTGAAAAAATATATCTCTGAATTTCAATAAAATTCAGAGAAAAAAGTTCAAAACTTGCACAAGGAGCCGCACATGAAAAGTTACTTTTCGACTTTTGCGAGGTTTCAGCGCTCCTATTCTCTAAACGAGCAGACCCATTTATAAAGTCGCAGAAATTTGTAAAATACCTTCGAACAACTCTAACCAAAACCAAACATCTCTGCCGTTTCTTCCTTGCTCTTCCGTGCAAGCACTTTTCGCGCACTGCCTTGCTACCTCCTGCGCCTTTTACGAGGCATTTGGCTCTCTTACGTTTTTCTACATTGTTTAAAATCTGATACTGTTAAACCGTACATCATTCTGAAGCTCTTGGGGCCTACGCACATTCTGAAAGCATCGCCGAGTACAGCTTCTCACTTTGAAAGAAAAATTGGGCAAAAACGTGTTTTTGCATTCTTTCATTTTGTTAATCTTGTTTCATTTGGTACTACTTGATGCGATTTTCCGCGCATTTAGTAGGCAACGCTGCCAAGTCTTTTTTTCGGTTGTGATGGAGCATCTAGCAGGACAGGAGCGCATTTTTCTTCATAGGCTTGATTTTGTAACCACTTTTTCATGTTCAGAAGATTCTCGCAAGAATAATAAGTAAAACAGCAACCAGTCATGAAACAACGACAAGGGGAAATTCAAGAGTTGCGTCGAAAATTAGTTGTCTTAACATGTTAATGGCAAAGTGCACAGCAAAGTGTCGTGCTACATCATGTGTAGCACAGGGACGTTGGGGACCAATTTTTTTCGGTGCTTTGAGCTAAAATCATGATTAACTTGCGCTAAGTGTTGTGTTTCCGCTGTTCTTATGCGTACCTCCATATTGTTGATCATTTCACGTTGGACCTAATATTTTGTAGTATAGGCTTGAGCTATATGGCCGTGGGTTTCTCTCAAACTTGATACGTGAGGGTTATCTAATTTGGCGATAACAAATATCACACACTCTTCGCACAAAAAAAAACATTCCTGTGTAATTGAGGTGGGTACATGGTATGTAAGTCAAGATCTCAGATTTGCTCAAAACTTCATATGGGAAGGGTCTTTGGCATCCTTATCACGGCTATGGCCGGTTGTGCTTGAAAAAGCCTTTTTGTGCGCTTTGAATGGTTGATGTACTGAGCTTCGACCAGATTTGAGGTTTTGATCCAAACCAGTAGACCATATACACTGCAACATCGATCACACTACTTTGCAAATTCCAACACCGTAATTAGGGCACTGAATGACCCCTACAGACCAAGAAACAGCCAAATCTGTGTTTGACCCGTGCAACATGCATTCCTACTACAACCAGACAAGAAAGTTTCAATTTTACTTTAAAATAGAAAAAGTTGTTTTATAATAAGCTTTTGCAATCTCCTATATCTTGCAGCGAGCGGAATTTCCTTGAAAATGCAATCAGCCAGCTCAAAATTCAAACGCCAAAGCTTCTGTCGCAAACGACGTTCGCAAAGCCGCATCAACTTGCACGCGTTTACTGTTTGCTACTCCTTTGCTGAACAAAGTAGGCTAGGGTAGGACAACGAAGGTATGTTGAACAGTGGACTTGTGCCTACACGATGGCATTCTTATATCGAAATGAGAATGAGTGTAGGAAGCAGAAGACAGTTGCAAACTCAGTAATGCACCATGTGCAGCACCGTTCCGAAACGTCTTGATGCGCACTTAGTCACTAGAGAGAAGAAGTCACCTTCTGTTGAACAACCTTTGCTTTTGAGAGGGGGGGGGGAGCAGTGGCGTACCTTTGGGGGCCCGCAGCAATTTTGAGAAGCCCCCAGTTTTTTCGGAGTGCGTGGCTGACGCCACGCACCTTCATTTGGAAAATTTTTTGCCGCGCTCCCCCGAGCCGAAATCCTGGGTACGCCACCTGGGGTGGGAGGGAGGGGGGGGGGGAGATTATAGGAACTCAAAAAGCAGTCACTTTTTAGGCAGACTATGGCCCGTAGTAAACCCCCATTAGGGCATCTCTCTTGAGGCGGACGGGAGGTGATCTCATCGCGCCTCAGCACATTGCCGGGGGAGCGATTCATTTGGAGCTGATCACTGACTGAACATTCGCGTTTTCAAAATTGGAACGTTTCTGCCATTTGTGCATTAATAGTCAAATGGAGAAGACTAATGCATTTCAAGCAGGAGTGCCGTGGTGCGGCTAGCGACACCGTTTTTGCTACTTGGCCTGGCGATCTTTGACAGCGGCCGCTGTCGAAAAAATCGATGATAACCGCTGTCAAAGATTTCGCCTAGCAAATAACAAGATAAAACAATTACACACTATTTTGGCAATCATACGACGAAAAAATACATTTAACAAAAAATGATTAGAAAGATGAATTTATTTTTTTGTTGTCTGAAGCGATTCTTTGAGAAAAACGAGCAACAACTGCAAGAAAAATGCAAAAAAACCTTTTTTTCTATTTCGTCGCGCGATCAGCTGTTCATCGATCCTCACTCACTTGGGCGCCCGAAATTGTGCAGTTTTGGGAGTTCTGCACCGCAAAAGAACGTCAGCTGCGATGTTTCGTAAGTTACTCGGGAGTTCTCTGTGCTCTCCTCTTTAGCACAATATTTACCTAATGTCGTCATCCGGCTCATCTCCGATGGCTCGGTCGGGAGCTGATCTCCCTGCCGGGCTTCATCTGAAGCTCACCTGTAGGGTGACCCTCCATACTTACACTACGAAAACACGGACAGTCCTCATCTCACCCGATAAAACCTCATATGAGAGGCTCACGGGAGATCATCTCCCGTGACCGAGCTTTACTACGGGCCTATGTCTCTAGACTATCAAAAATACGAAACCATTTCGAACCACGAAACTGTGAGTGGCAAAAGCCTGTACTTTCTGCCGCTAGTCAACAAAAGAACTCTCACTTTGAGGAATGAGTATTCCATGATTACTATCTCCATACCGAAAGAGGCAAATGCGTCTTCTGATTTTGTAACGTGAAAGGAGCTGCATTGTGTTGTAAATGGTAGCTGGACTCATTTCGCACGCGGCACACACCGTTTGACAAGCACCAGGCTTTAGCCAGTTCGTGGAGATAAAAATTGCAACGTCGCGTGCATTGCAACATTGCACTATTTTACAGTTGTTCTTAATTGGTAGAGCCTAAACAAAATTAACTGGCTCTGCTCAAGCAGATTTGAAGTGAGGCAATATTCCTTGTGCTTCTTCTGAAAATCAAGTTAGCCTGATGTGCAATGTACTGCACAAGTCAAAGCACGCTAATAAGCTTTAGTCGAAGACTTTACAATGTATAATAGTAAACTCTACAGAAAAACATCTATCTTGAATGATTTTTACGCAATTAACGATTACCAAATACCCTGGGAAGGTGAAACATGATACTTTATTTCAATTCTGGAATTATAGGACGTAGATTCACTTAAGAGGGTGACTCATCGATGAGGTGGCGCCAATAACGATCATTCCGCGAAGTTCACGATGTCGTATAATAAAAATAAAGAAATTGACCATAGTCTGAAGGTATTTCGAGGTGTACTTTGGCATTTAGCTGGAACTGATTTGTGGTAGAAAATAAAATTACCTTATTTAGCATGAGCGAATATAAAAACAGCTTTGTTCCGTTACTATCGTTTGGTATGTTGAATTGTATCATAATATCGGGTATCAATAACAAGCAAAAAGCACTCAAGGTTGTTAAGCCTGTAATTTCTACATTCAGTCAATGGTTGCCGGTGACTTCGAAACTTACCCATAGTAACATTGCTTCGCATTATCTTTTTGCTTTGTAATTTACTCATTGACGGGGCAAATGAGCGTGAAGTAGTCTTGAACCTCTAAAATATTAGCGCTAGTCATCATATTCGTTTATCTTTGCATCATGTGACTTAATCTTGAACCTCTAAAATACTAGTGCTTAGTTATTATGATTATTCGAAGTTTTGTTTATCTTCGCATTATGTGACTATATCATATGTTTGAATCACAGCAATTAGGCTAAGAAGTGCTGTGGGCACATCAAATCTAGCATTTACATCAACGAATTGTTGATCATGCATATAGAATACAAGGTGAGCTACGGCAGGATTTTTGAAGCCATCATAGTCGAGAATTGATTTATCAAATGAGAGACATTGCTCTCCCATCAAAATTCCACAGGCGTTTACAAAGGTGAGTGTTTGGTCAGGCAGTTAACTATCAGTCTACCAAAGCCTTGGAGTTTTGTCTGCATAGCTGCAGAGACGTTTGGTCGATTAGTTTACAAGTCGTTCTGTCCATTCCAGGCTCTGAAGCAGAGGTGCGATAGGTGGAGCCGGGCCCCCCAAAAGTGAAGGTGGTTCTAGCTACCACTGGCCGGCCAAAAGTGAAGGTGGTAGTGCCAGACACTCACCTCTCAAAAACGTCGACCGGGGGGGGGGGGACTTCGGATAATTGAAGAACTCTGACCCAACTGTCCCCTCGAGGGCCAACAAGTGTGACCTAACGGCCCTCTTTAGGGCCACAAATACGACGAGTACAGTGGCATAAAAATTAAAAAAAGGAGATAAACGTGTTATTCGAATGGTCTATTTGTGAGTAAAATCCAGTTAGACTTTACGTATTTTATTAAGTAAATTTTGTTATAACGTACTGCGAATAAAGTAAGTCGATCCAGGCAGTAATCACCGAGAACCAGAATTTCGAATAATAAAATAGCGAAAAATCATGCGAAATTTCCACTGTTATAAATCTGGTGGTTGAAGGTGTCAGCAATTGCGACTTCGTAGGTTTCGAAGGGCAGATGTTCTACCAGAAAGTGAAAGAATTAGATCGATCTGAGCAGTGATCGCCGAGAACGAGAATTTTAAAAAAATTAAGCGATTTTAGGTTACTTAGCGACAGCTGGTGTTTAGACTCCTATAAATCTGAAATGTGAAGGTATGCAATGTTGAGACTTCATAGGTTTTGTAGAGTAAGAATTGCTCTATCGGAATATGTTTTAGCCGTACCGATCCACCAAGATACCGCGGAGATTCATGCTCTTAAAAAAATAGGTAAAAAACCGTGTTTTGAATTTCAACAGCTCATAACTTCGTAAGAATTGCACGAAACATGTTGCGACTTCATAGGTTGGATTCTCCTTTGCAAGAGCTTTCAGATGATATATAATGTGTGGGGGTTTCGCGCCCCTCACGGCATATGCCCGGGGGTGGAGACTTTTCACCCCAAAGTCTCCACTAGCGGTCTCCGGCCAATACATTAACATGGGCGAGGTGGAGACTTTGGGGTAAAAAGTCTCCACCCTGGGTTAGGGCCGCAAAAATCATTGAACCCCCCACATATTATATATCATCTGAAAGCTCTTTCAAAGGAGAATCCAACCTATGAAGTCGCAACATGATTCGTGCAATTCTGAGAAGTTATGAGCTGTTGAAATTCAAAACACGGTTTTTTACCTATTTTTTTAAGAGCATGAATCTCCGCGGTATCTTGGTGGATCGGTACGGCTGAAACATATTCCGATAGAGCATTCTTACTCTACAAAACCTATGAAGTCTCAACATTGCATACCTTCACATTTCAGATTTATAGGAGTCTAAACACCAGCTGTCGCTAAGTAACCTAAAATCGTTTAATTTTTTGAAATTCTCGTTCTCGGCGATCACTGCTCAGATCGATCTAATTCTTTCACTATCTGGTAGAACAACACTTGCCCTTCAAAATCTATGAAGTCGCAATTGCTGACATCTTCAATCTCCAGATTTATAACAGTGGAAATTTCGCATGATTTTTTCGCTATTTTACCATTCAAAATTCTGGTTATCGGCGGTTACTGCCTAGATCTACCTACTACGTGGATATATGCTCTCAATACTTTCTTTTGTGTTTCTTTTGCTTACTTTCTTCTCTTAAGTTTCAGCAAAATTTTTTTTCAAACTCAAAAGTGAAGGTGGTCACCCCGTATCAGCTCAAAAGTGAAGGTAGGCGGAGACTCGGCTCCGACTATCGCACCTCTGCACTGAAGAAGGCGACCTGCCGAATCGTCAGCCAATAAACTGTTAACAATTCGGGTCACGGCTCAGCATCATAAACAACATTATCAACACCATGCCTAGGTTCATAGAGAGTCGCACATTCCATCAAATGAGAGACTTCAGAGCAAAAGCAGATTATTGCCCCACTAACTCGATGACAAGGAGTGTCGAATGTACCGTCTATGCAAATTTCAGCTTTGTGTTTCTAATCATTCTTGCATTTTCTGAGTGCTGAGCAGCATATTATCAAAGCTGCAAAAATGTCAATATATCGTTTTGCTTCTTTCTGGATGCGAGTGCTGTTAGCAGAGCCCAGCATAAGGTGGCAGAGTCTTAAACAATGTCCCCTTTGACTTTGCGGAAGATTACGAAATAACTTTTGGCGATATTCATAAAAGCACGGGATAATATGCTGCGAGGAATGAATGGGGACTGGAGCAAAGACAAGGAAAATCATAAACAGCAAAAACCATAAAAAGGCGTTTATATTAACAAGGGTCGTAGCCAAAGCATAGGGGACGAAACTCGGGTGAAGAGTACTAACGGGACCGGTTATGCGTTTTATAGAAACTTGTTGTTTATCTTTTTTTACATGAAGATTATGTTTTGAAACTTGAAACCGTGTGTACACAGGTTTATGCACTAATCGTGTTTATAATGTGTTTTTATTGGTGAACTGACGTGAGAGCTTCAAATTCGGGTTCTTTAAAAGCTAGAGTTTCTAAAATTTTGGGTGATTTCAAAAGGTCACCCCTGACAACCGAAGCTCGCCTTTGCCTTCCTTTTGAGAAAAGACATCCATTTGGTGAAAGCGGCACCTCCGCTGAGCCATGTCTATTCTTACCGCAAGAGGTTAATCAGCGGGAATCGTCTATAGATGGAACACCCGCAGAAATGCTCATGTATATAACTTTGGCTAGTGGATCGGCAGCCACTGTGAACAAGCCCACAATCCGGAAGGGCATTCGTCAAAATCTTCAGCGGAGCTTGACTGTGCTAGCATCAGAGCTGCCAATCAGTTGTGAAGGTGTATCGGACATTTTGAAAGTGATGGGATAAAGCTCTATCAGACGCAGAAAACTAACGTTACTCTGCACGACATGAAGCTAACCTGGCTACATGGGTGCTGTCAGCTTAAGCACTTGTCAATAGCACCCAAAAGATATCCTTTTCCGACAAAAATTTCCGCCGTGGATTAGGGTTTAGTCACCAAAAGAACAGGATCATTTCCAAGTTGCTCCAAGGAGCCAATAGCAAAAGTCTACTTGTAAAAAGAAGGATTTTGGCTTCTGTGATGATCTAAGCGGCAATCATTTCGACAAGATACCGCTGATTTCTGTGCCTCAGTGAATCCAAAATGACGCTTATTACTTACTTGAACAATTCGTCTACTCGGACGAGAACGTGGAGGACGAGGCACAGATCCCAGCAGGATAGCGCACCTGCGCACAAGGCGAAGATTATTTGAGCATGGCTCAAAAGTAACGTCAAGGGCTTCATTACTCCTGCAGAATGGCCCCCGTACTCGCCGGGCCTAAATCCCCTCGACTACTGCTTGTGCTCATCTTAAGACCAAAGCCTGGATTGTGTGCCCTTCTGCACCGCTCCGTCCTAGCTCTAACTCTGTCCTAGAGCGGCGCTATTCACTCCTCCTTTCTTATAATCTTGCTGAGTTTTCAAGTACTTTTTTTTAAGAAAGCGAGGGTATATTTGACGATGTTTTATTTGAAAATACAAGATTTTGAGGGAGGTTGTTTTTTATTCGCATTCCCTTTGCATGTGTAACTTGAAAAACCTATTTAAGCTGATTAACATCTTAAATTTCATGTAAAACTTGAATTTTTTTGATTCTTCCTTGGAACAGTGCTTTCTCGTAACTCTTCGAATTTGGAGCGCCTGGTCTTTGATGACAGCCTAGCCCTCTCACGGTAGCGTCGACCAATCAGAGGCGCTCAGTAAACACTGAGCGCCTTTGATTTTCCGACACACTAGGCGCTGCTAAGACTAGCGGTGCAGGAGGGCCTTCTCCCAAAAGCTCTTGTTCTCACCCACACAAAACTTCGGAATCTGCACCAATATCAATTTACCGGAAAAAGATTAATGCTTCCAGCAGGATAGAGCTACTGCGCGCAAGGCAAGATTATTCAAGCATGGCAAAACAAGGACTTTATTGCACTTGTAGAATGGCCCCGTACTCGCCGGATCTGAATTCCTCACTGCAACCTGCGCTCATCTTGAGATCAAACTGCTCTCACCCACACAAAACTGTGGAGTCTTTGCAACGGCCCTTCAAAATGCAGGTAGACAGTTTTACCAAGCGTCACAAGCTTGTGCTTGCGCCAAAGGAGGAATCTTTATGAAGGTAGTGTACCAGACTGTTGAGTAGAAATTAGTTTTTGATTTCATCTGATCATCTCGCCTAGTTTTCTGGTTACGGTAAAAAATTTGCAAACATTTTTCAATGTAATCTTAATTTACTCCAAGGCGCCATATACTTTTGTGAGTACAACGCTCGCGATAAAATGACCTGTCCTAGACTACCGTGACAATTCAACAGTCTGGGTCTAGAACAAGTCATTTTGTCGCGAGCGTTGTACTTACAAAAGTATATGGCGCCTTGAAGTGAACAAAGACTACATTGAAAATATTTACAAACTCTTTATCGTTATTGTACTTTTGGTCACAGCATGTTCAAAGTGGGAACACTGGGCTAATTATCGTTACATGATGAAATCATATCATAGTGATTACACTATCTTCCTCAAGACATTTTTAGCTGGTTGAAACTTCTAATGACATAATCTATGGACTCGTTAGATTTTATTAGTCCAATGCTACACTCGTTGCTCTACTCAAGGGATAAACACAGACGTACCTTACGAATGAGAAATACTACCATTATATAGAGTAAAGCAGCTACAACAATGCATAACCATCTATAGTAAGCTAATATGTTCCTGAAAATCAACGATAGATGTAGGCTCAGCTACAGACTACTTCTTCAACAACCTGAATCCAGGAAAAGCTGTTTCTGTGAAATTGCAAAAAACGTTAACAGCTGCATACTTTGCGTTTTCATTGCTGAAAACCAAAATCAAATTCAGGATCATTGTCGAGAAGGAAATCCCATAAGCAACTGAAAAGTAATCACGAAAAATCCATTATATAGGTATGGTACTTACCTGAAAGTACAACTACGGCATATCGAACTGTAGTTTGAAAGTACCATATTGGGAATACCGTAGCGAGAAATCGATCAATAGCAACTACCACGTTCATCTGACCAATCAGAGATACTCCGAAGAAGAATGAAATAGTCGACAACTGAGTTACACACTCCAGCCTTGTTACGGTGGTGTCAGCTGGAATGCAGGAAGGTCATCTCATATAACATCATATTTTAGTGAACTCTCAGAATATGAAGTTTGTAAGACTCGTTACTTTTCCAAAACCCCATGAAAATAATAACTGCTAAGGAGACTTAAAAAATTTCTCCTAGCATGCTGACTTTCACGAATGTTGTACAAAAGAAGGTTAATGAAAAAATCATGTGCGACGCGAAAGCGGAACTATCGCGTTGGAGGGAAGAGGAACTTTCCGCACTAAGCGAATTTGAATAGCAAAAAATAGCTCCTTTGGATTTGAAGGTCGTCTGTCTTCGGCAAAGGTACGATTGTCAATTCTTTCAATTCAAGACCAGGAATGATATCCACGAAAGTCCCCGCGAAATGGGCTTTTCCTGCGAATAAAATGGACTTAGTCCATGCGGTGCGATAAATCGCATTCGCGAATCCATTTATTCCATACAAAAGTGCTTCAACTAACCTTTCTCCAACTTGTCTCAACCTGTTTGCTCACTCTTGCAAACTCATTTCCACCAAGTGGTCGATATCTAACTAGGCTGACCTAACATTACAATGTCACTCAAGTGGCTATTCTATTCTTTCCCACTTCGTTACACCTAACAGAATGCCATTCGTTATCGATGACTATGCATTTAAATCACTTCCAAGACTAAAATTCATGTAATATCCGGGCCTTCGCTTCAAAACTTCTACGAATCAGCATTAAATCGAATTCGTATGTGGAGATTTCTGCAAAAAGCAAACTTTGGCTGGAGTTGCACTGCCATCTGTGAACCAAAATGCTCCTTACAAAAAACCTTGTACTACACTACAACTCAAAGGGTTTTTCAAGTCGCAAAAACTTTGAATCTTAAAAGATGACTTCGCAAGTGCTCTATATTAACTTTTCTTTGTCTTTCAGCACCAATATTTATAACTCTAAGCAGTTGGATGTATGGACTAATCTAGTAAGAAATTTTTCACGGAATTTCTCTAGCTAGCTAGCGGCACTTCAGTAATTCTTGCGGACCAAACTCAAAATTGCGTTTAAAATGCCGTCTCTGAGGTTCGGTTCTACGAAATTAGCCAAAGATAGCTTTTAAGTAATTACATTGAAGTACAATTTTTTTCAAATTTTAGATTACAAATCATGAATTTGGTTTTGGTTGATGATTTGAAGAGTTAACAAACTTTATTTGATTTACATAGGAGCATCGACCTGATATTTGGAAGCATATGAGTTTGTTGGCGAATATTTTGGTGAAATTTAACCTTCTTCCATGATTTTTAGAGCGTTTCTATGAGTTTAGAAAGAAACACATATTTGAGACTTCATAAAAGACATGAAACTTTTTCCACTCACCTATTACCTTAGGATAGGTTGAGGAACACATTCCCAAAAAATCGCAATCAAAAATATGCAAAAAGGTCAAAAATGGGCTTAGTCCCAGCTCACCTTGCTGCTGGGAGTAAAATGGGCTTTCAAGTCCATTCAGGGTCAAGCGTGTGATGCGACTGTCGCAACGGGGGGTCGTAAAGGGGGCCTACGGTGAGGGGGGGGGGTCGTAAGAGGGGGTAGTTTGGATAAAAAACCGTACGATTGAAAGCAAATCGAATAGCAAGTAATTATTATATGTTCTTAACAATAAAGTCATGGAATGCCGTGTACCAATGTATCAAATAAAAACGAGTGAACAATAATTTGAAAACATTTGCAAGCGTAGAAATTCGCTTCATTTGCTGCACTTGTGAAAGATTATGACTTAGTTCTTTTCTTATGAGAATCGCTATTTCTCCCGCAAAATATTGTCTCAAACGGGGATCGAACCCTGCTGGCAGACTAAAATCCAAAAAATAAACACTTTCAGAAGCTCAAATGCTACTAAAGGCATGTATGTTTGATAAAGATGTTGGATGTACCGATTGGTGTAGACATCCTGCTTCCGAAGGCTCACTGAAGACTCGCACACTCGACAAAAGCGCATATGTAGATCAACGATGATAATGAATAATTCGTAAACCTTTTTGTGATGCCATTTATGCGGCCCTTACAATTTATATATACTTTAGATAAGTCCTGCTACTGCTGTGCGAAATCTTGTGTTATCTTATAAACTGCGGATTTTCTTATGATTTTATGTATGGTAGCAGAAAATGAGAAAAGGGGGGTCGTATCTGCGCCTGATCTAAATTTCTCCGGAACTATTGAAGTTTGTTAGCTGCAAACTTGCTGTAATACGAGGCCATCCTCCTACCTTCTATCATAAAAATTTCAGGCTGTTTTATAACTTCTCTGGTAAGTTACAAAATTTTAAGCTCAAAAATCCCAGTTTTTGCTTTTTAGGATCGCATCTAAATTTGCGAGAGCCTGATCTAAATTTTTTCGAGCTCACTGCTCCTTAAGGGCTGAAACTTTTTCTGTGAATAGCCTTGGCACCATGCTACAGAACCTGTTCTTTGCAGCTTCTCAGTCTTTTTCTGGCCTTAGTTACGAATTTTCAAACTACCGTGCTCATGCATGTTTTTGACGTCGTTCTGGACGGCGCTAAAGCGGTTTTTTTCGCAGGAAAAACTGTGGAAGAGGTAAGAACTGAGCTTCTTAGTCGAAAACATCTTTTGTAGTTCAAGAATGCCATTTTGTTCTCCGTGTAAAAATTTGTGTCGCATACGGGAATCGAATTTGCTGGCCTGAAGTATGCCTGAAAATTCAAAAGTAAACTTGCAGAATCTCAAACATTATTGAAGGTGTGTATATGTGCTAGAGATGCTGGGCGCACCCATTGGCCTAGAAATTGTGCTTCCGAAACCTCACTGAAGTTCTCACGCAGGTGATTTTTGAAATTGACATTCGTTTATGCAGGTTACCGCGAGAAATGTGGGCAGGGGAGGTAAGGGGGATAGATGGGGGAGAGGGAGGGAGGGGGGAGGGGAGGGGGGGTCGTACGGATGGGTACCTTCAAGGGGGGGGGGGTCGTAAATGAGGGTCCAGGATCGCATCAACACGCTTGACCCTGAGTCCATTTAAAATGGAGGTAAATCCCATTTTGCCCCATTCTAAATGGACTTTTGACGTCATCATTTCGCAAGCGAGAGCGCAGGTAGGGTTAAATCATTTTCACTTTACCGCTTTGCCTCGTGGTTGCGATGGGATGAAAATTTTTGGATAACGCGAGCGAAAACAGATTCCGACCACTCTTCACCGCGAACGAATAAAATGGGGCTTGAAAGTCCATTTTCCTCCATTATGGACTTTCGTGGATATCATTCCAGGACTGACCAACTGCGGACATTTCCAAGCGTCTCGTTGCACCCAAGAAGAATCCAAGAGCATACAGTGTGTCGCCCAGTGCCATGCCAGCTATGATCACAAATTCGCGGCGCTCTCTATTGGATTTTCTCAACAATATACCGAAGACCAGTGGTAGATTGAAGATAATTATTAGGAAGCCTGAGGGAAAAAAATGTATACATCTCAGTCATAAACAAATTGCTGGACTGTAATGACTCACTTTCGCAAAGGTAAATAATCCATTCTGTAACCAGCGACATCTGGAATTTTATCAGGTTTTATCCGCGGATGTTAAATCTGGAAATCTGGAAATCGACTCTCAGAAAAGTGGTCAGAACTAGCACTAGAATTACATGATCAGCTGTACATATAATGATGGCAGTAAAGCTGTTTCAAACGATTATTCCATCAATGTTTTGAAAAGTTTGCAGGGAATGTTATGAGTATTTCTTGATTCAGGTGCTGGCTGTAGCATAGAATTTCAGATGCAGCCTGACAAAAGAATTAGTAGCTTGAAAGGTGAATAAAATGACCCAATAGCTTCTAGGCACAATGTGAACTACAATACAGGCAGCATTAAGAAAATACCTTTGAATTGATTACAATGAATTTAATCCACAATTGAAGCTGTGAAAAAACTAGACCAAATTTGAGCAAACAAACATCTGTACTGACAATGTTCAGGGAACGGTTTAGGAAATAAGAGTAGATCTCCTAAGCCTTCAAACATCTACACAATAAGTCCAAAATATAAATTATCTCTACGTACTCAAAATGATTAAATCGAGCATCTGTTGCTTGCGAAAAAGTTCCGGAGAATGACTGCGAATTCTTTCACTCCGCTGGGCAGAAACGAAACGGATTGGTGATTTTCTATCAAAAAGTTCGAAGCTTTTTTATTACTTCTTATAGGCATTGATATCAGCATTCCAAGACGATCCTAGCTTTAGCAATTCATCTTAATATCATATATAATTACAAAAATTATATAATAAATTATATAACTATTATCGAAATATAGAATTACGAATGCTGATCAGTAGACCGCTGGTCACGAGGAAGAGGGAGAGCGCCATGAAGCAAGTTTGAGACGAGAAAATTGGCAGAGTTAGACATTCAAGCACGTACATATTATCATTGCACTCAATTCTAATAAAAGCAGATTACCGGGGACGTTGATCATTGTTGCTTCGCACAGAAATGACAAAATAGCAGTTGAAGCCAGTTCCCACACATTTTTGCGAGAAGCGTGAGAACAACGTATGCAGTAGTTAGCTCAATTTGCACTTTGTAACTTAAAAAACTACTCTTGTAGTATCCGGAAGAGATACGTAAATCACAAATGCTACAAGAGCAGAGCAAACTTATTTATTTACTTATTTAATTATTTGTTCGATTACTTAACGTGCTAACTTGCTTCTCACTATAGAAAAGAATAGAGCAGTAAAAACATATTCGAACCTAACAGCTATTGTTTGGCGCCAGCTGAATGCTGCATTCAGATAAAGAAAACATGAATGAGTGTGGAAAAGTAAAATAAATGGAGTGTGAAAGAGTTGTTTTCCTTATTTTTTTGACAGATAAAACTTTCTCTAAGTCGTTCAAGATACAAATCTGCAGATAACCATATACAGGGTGTCCCAAAAAAATGTATCGAACGTTTGATCGTTAATATCTCTCTTCTGAAGAAGTCTTTTCCCTTGCTTCAGGTACCAATCTGTAGAGCTGGCTTCAACTTAGATTTGCATTATAGAACGAATCACTCATCTCTCTTCATTACTGTGGGATTACGGTAGAAACTTCAAAGAGGGTTTTAAGCGATGAAAGGCCATATTTTGCCTCAGAAAGGAAATAAAACAGCCTCAAAACTTTTACACTGGGCTAATTAGAGTTGCTGGTTATAACTGTAAAGTTCCCAACTCATTATGATGCTTCATTGAAGGTAAGAGGTAGCGGCCATTTTTTCAGTGTTTCTAAAAAGTGCGGTTACACCGTTTAGAAAGCTTCGCAATCTTGAGAGAATAGTTGAGTATTGAACTCAGCGTCTATAAAAATCCCAATACACAAGTTTTCACAATTTTTTGAAAAATTTTATGCAAATCTAAGTTGAAGCCAGCTCTACAGATTGGTACCTGAAGCAAGGGAAAAGACTTCTTCAGAGGAGAGATATTAACGATCAAACGTTCGATACATTTTTTTGGGACACCCTGTATATGGTTATCTGCAGATTTGTATCGTGAACGACTTAAAGAAAGTTTTATCTGTCAAAAAAATAAGGAAAACAACTCTTTCATACTCCATTTATTTTACTTTTCCACACTCATTCATGTTTTCTTTATCTGAATGCAGCATTCAGCTGGCGCCAAACAATAGCTGTTAGGTTCGAATATGTTTTTACTGCTCTATCCTTTTCTATAGTGAGAAGGCAAAACGGCAGCTTTTTTCACATTGACACCATATGTTCCAAGTTTCTACCGTAATCCTACAGCACCGAAGAGCGGTCGATGATTCTCTCTATGCTGCAAATCTAAGTTGAAGCCAGCTCTACAAACCGGTACCTGAAGCAAGGCAAAAGACTTCTTGGGAAAAGAGATATTAACGATCAAACGTTCGATACATTTTTGGGACACCCTTTATATTACGATATCTCATAAAGTTTTACTGATTTTATCCCAAACATTCTCTAGAATTGGTGCACCTACAATGGGTACAAACACATAATCGTTCTTCTGTATCTATGAGCTCTATGATCATATGCGTGAGGAGCTCAGGAGCCTAAGGGCGGAGATCGCCAATTTACTCCATTCATTTTTTATTCATTTCTAGCTATGGAAAAAATACGGCAAATGCACAATTGAATGTTCGATGTGTCAAGCTAAATGGGGAATTTTTAAGTTTTTTTTGACGAAAATACGATTTTCGATGTTGAAGCAAAGTTTTCGGCTGCTATCAGATTTCAGCTTCAAACTTCACATGAAATACGACTTGGGCGAGCTTTCCATAGCCATCTTGTAGATAATGTAATCACCATAACTCAGTGACAAAGTCGTAACAATGGTGGCAGTTTTATTATCGGTCGTAAATTTTTAGATTGTTGAAAGCGACAAAAATGAAAGGATGAGGAGCGAGACGGTTGCATTTATGACTCGACCTTTGTGACTTGGCGACTATTGTTACCTTATGATTGCATCCCCTCTTTCGTTCTCACTAAAGTACACATCAACACCGCCTAGTTCCGATTCTAACGGTAGATGCAAAAAAGTGTTCTTTTTTAGGCTGCTTAACTACAGTATTAGACAGCTGAAATCATACATAAGGTCTGAAAACACATGCTAAAACAGAATTGAGTAAAAAAAGCTGATTTACAATTTCTAGAAAAAAGGCAAATGTTTAGAGAAATGCATATTATTTCCGTACATGGCTCCGCATCATATTTTCTAGAGGCATGAAACCTTCATACGTCCTCTTGAGCATGCATTAATAAACTAAACAAGTAATGGAGATCGCAAGAGATCAAATGGATCCTTTAAATTAGGTTTAAGCAAAAGTTCTTTCGCACTATTTTTTTAAAAATCGTGACTTCTTGCCCTACCAACGGATTTGCACATTCTTAATTTTGCTATGTAGAGAAAACCTTTTTTTTTCTTACGATGCCTTTGCTGTTCTCTGGCAAGAACTCTGAAGACGGAAGCAGGAGAACAAGATTACTTCAAATTCGACCCTTTTTAGTTGGGCAGAAATCTGAAACTTGCGATAAAATTCCGAGCAAGCAGTACAGTAAGAAACATGTTGTTCCCAAATTTGCATTAGCAACAGAAAATGATTTTCTTGATTATTTTCCAGTGATCAATCGGTACTATTCAAATGACACAAAAGCTTATTGTTGTCCAAAGAGAGGTGAGAGTTTAATTCTCCAAAGTTACAACAATACCGTTGTAGTTCTTTGAAAATTATACCCGCCATCCTATAACTCCCTGATTAGACTTAATGGTTACTTAGAAATAATGTTGAAGTACCCTGTCAGTCGATTAGGGTGAAGAGTAGCGCAAATGAAAAAAAAGGCGTCAAGCAATTCTAAAAAGTAAGAGGGATTAAATCAAAGATTAGTTCAGTGACGGGTTGATTAATTTTGAATCATCAATTATAAAGTTATGTGATTCGATAGCATGACATTACTCCGCAATCAGGGAAACCAAAGAACAATTACATTATACCTCTGAGGCTAAGAGCACTTGTTGGGTTCTTTGGAGATCCGTAAGCGAGGAAAATGAAGAGACAAGGAAGAATTAAACTGGTGAGAAGAAAAAACTGGCATTAATCAGATATTTATGATTATATTAAATTGATTTACAAGTCTTGCACCAAAAAAAGTGAAAAAGCCGTTTCGAAAATATTTGGAAAACTTTCCGTTAGTAGCGTACATGTGCAGCAGAGATAAGTTAATATACAATTTCCATCTTACTAGGCAGATTAAAAATTTCACTCGAAACAAAATTGAAGTATCGAGTGAAAAAACTTAGCGAATATTTGTCGACAATGTCGATCAGCACGAATCACTCCGCAGAAAAATTGAACGTAAATCACAGTTGAAACTGAAATCAAATCTTGCTGGGCCTTTTAGCATCTTTGAAAAGAAAATTGAAAACATACGACCTATTTTTTCCCTTTTACTTGAATCTCCACGATATACGTGATATTATTACAAGAAACACGTGAGAGTGTGCGATTTTTGCCGCAGGCAATGAAACAAACAACCTACATAATGAAACTAGAAGAAGCAATATTTTTTCAAAATCTTGCATTTTAAAGCCAAATGAAATAAATATACAACGATCAGATCAAAATATGGACAAATCTGAGTTCTATGGGAACACGCTAACTTTATGATTATGTTTGCAGTGATCTCAGGTAATTATCCGTAAACAATCCAACGGAATCAAGAGCAGGAATACTATTTTTTAAGACTGGTCGCTACTCAGAAACTCTTGTTTCGTTTTCCCGAGATAAATAACCGCCAGCCATTTTTTAAGCCACAACTGAAATGTTGGGCATTATTGTACTGATTTGTTTAACAGAACAGAAATGGCAAAATTTTTGTACGCTGTTCTGAAAACAATGGTCACTTGAGTATCTTCGGGGACAAACATGAGAAATTAAGCTTACTATGTATGAGTTTACTAAGCAGTTGTAAGTTGAAGAATAACTGAAAGAGCTTCCAGAGACCATTTATTGACCGGAGTAACAGTTTTGAAATCAAAGA